TGGAGGCTACGTGGACCGACCAGAACAGCTGAGCGAGTACGACGACTGGAAGCTTGAGTACCATCTGAAAGAGATACCCGAGGAAACACGTTGGAAGTTGTACTCAGCGCTGAAGGCGCGACGACACGAGCTTATCGGACAAGACGAGGAAGCGATCGATAAGAGTCTCAAGCACTACCGTGATGTCATCTCGCGCTACACCAACCGTGGACGCAAGTGGAGAGAGGAGCAAGACAAGCTCAATGACGCGAAGGGCGTGCAGGTCTTCCGACCACTCGGCCCTGGCTCAGACGCCGAGATCGTGGCGCCAGGCCATGAAGCTACGAAGGGGACTGAAGCTTCTGACCAGACCGAGGTCTCGCAAGAGCAGGCAGCGGAGGAGCCCTACAGTGAGGAATCGAAGCCAGACGAATCACTTTCTAAGGAAAAGAAGGAGGAAGTCTTAGATGGCTTGCCCTCGGTGCCATCGTAAAGGGGATGGTTTGGGATCTGGCGTTCTTCCCCTCTCTGGGGTCTAGACGGTAAATGGTTACATGACTGAACGTTTTAAAACATAGATGTAAGAGTATATGTACAATCACAAGGATACGGAGGTGTCGATACCAGGAAATGAAAAGATAAGAACGAGCAACGTCTTGACTACAATTTTACACATCATTCAATGCATTGTAAGATTCTCCAAAAAGTAATGTTGTGTGACGCGGGGTGGTAGGCCAACCGTTGGCATGAAGCCTGACCCCTGCTCCGCCGGCATTAGCGACATCATCGCTCCGCTGCCCGAATGCTCCTCCGCGAAGCTCGTTCTTCTAGAAGCTCCCCGCCATACAGCCTCACCTATGAGCGCGACTGTCCTAACTACACCCGACCGATACACGCCTGCCTGCTACACCTGAGCGGCTGCCGTTTGCTCGCCTTGGCACCTGCGCTGCCGTTTCCATCTCACTTGCGCCGGCGTGCTCGCCGCCCGCCCGCATCAAAGATCTCAACTGCGCCAACATTGCTATCACCACGCACGCTACACCACAAGCGCAACAGTCATGTCGGACGCCCAAATAGAAGAAAACATCGACCTCCTCTTTAATTTCGGGGTGGAACAGCTTGACAGACAGGAAGCCAGACAGCTCCTCGCGGTATGTCCAAATAGCCCGCAACCTGTTTGCGCTTTGCGACAAACCTCTAACTACGTGTGTAGAACCATGGCAACAATGTCGAGGCTGCCATGGACAAGTACTTCAGCAGCATGGACCAAGGAGGTATTTCTGCTTTGAAGACCCATCTGCGCAACTCACAGGCCAAGTGGGACGAGACTGCCTTTGCGGGGGCCGGCTACGGTATAGACGACACCAACGTTCCCAGTACGTCAGCTCAGGCTCGGAAGACTCCCTAGGACAACACGGCTGACAGTGGCGGATTTCAGCATTCAATATTGACTATGCTCCAGGTCTCGACAACTACCCCCATAGCAACGTCAATAGCAGAGCACCCACGCGCCCGCCTTCTCGAACCAGCGTCGCCTCCACGCAAGCACAAGCCGGCGATGCGCCCATACAAAGTCAGTGCAGCGAATGCGCCACGAGCATCACTTCGCAAGGGCTGACAGATATTCAGGCATTGAGGGCCAGGAGATGGGAGTTACAGGCTCTGCTAACTTCAGACCGGCTACTGGAGCAAACTACGATGCCTCTCAGTGGGCTCTAGTACCAACCACAACCGAAATCATCGCCGACCCTATCCCGAGCCAGCGAAAGCGCGAAGAAGGGCAGCCCGCTATCCTGAAGCCGTCGCCAAACTTCAACTACCTTCCCAACCTCATTCCTATACTCCATTCGATACCGCTGTTCCGAAACGCGCTGCTGTGTCCGGGCGTACTACGCAATGATTACTGGCAGGGCGACAATTGGTGGAAAGGCAATCCCACAGCAACCGCGCGCATCTTCGAAGACGGCACTGGACTTTCGGAAGCTTACAACCTCGAGATACTTCACGAGACACAGCGACTCATGGCATTTCTAGATAATACAGACCGGATTTACGGGTCGGTCAACGGACTGCTCGAGTCGGAGGCTTGGAGAGAGCAACCACCACTTGACGACCCGGACGACGATTTGCTCAAGTTCCTGGTGACGTGGAGTTTCGCCTTCCAGAGCCAGGTCCCGAATGCCGATTTGAACGGTCATCTTAAATCTACCTTCGACGTCGCTGGAACCACTCAAGAGAGCTTTGTGCTTGACGCCGCCGTCACACGCAATAATCTTCGGCCCGACTTCAACTTATACGATGTCCTGGATGATTCACTCTTCGCTTCGGCTGGAGCCAGTGCGCATATTCGCGAAGCGAGTAACGTGCTGATACTCCGCCTGACCTCATCAAATACCCAGACGTCTGACCTGGGATGTCATATTCCAGCCACCCTATACATCGATCGGTACCTCGAGAAGAACAAACATGTCATCGATAGTATGTACAGCGAGATCACGCAGCATGAGGAACAACTAGTCTCGCTCAAGACGCAGGTGGAGAGACTAAAGTACCACACCCCGAAGAAAGCAGGCGCAAAGAAAGTTGAGTCGCTGCAACTGCTCAAAACAAGTATGACTGCGTTTGGGCCTGAAAGTCCTGGTGGTTCTCCCAAGGATACAGAAGTACTAGCTCAACTGCAGGAGCTTTACAACAGCATAGAGAGCAAGCTTGCGACTTTGGAAGAGCAGACCGAACAAGCGCAGAAGGCGATTTTAGGCATCTCTGGGCGATTCAAGCCGCGCGTAGACGGGAGCGCTGACGAAGCCGCAACCACCGACGACCAAAATATGGACACTACGACCGAGATGACCGAGAAGGTGGAAGAGAAGACTTCCGAGCCCGTCGAAACCGTCTACCCAGAAGGCCAAACCCCGGAAGACGCCATGAAGCGCCCGTACCAACTCTGGGGCGTAGCTACGCGCAGGGACGTAGTCTACGTCCGCCACCCGGACATCAAATCCGACATCCCCAACGCAACCCAATGGTGGCGCATGCAATACGACAGCGAATCCGCTAATCCCGTCATTCGCCGCGACCCCCTCTCCCTGCAAGAAGTCATCGAGCGCGCCACGACCGAAGCCGGCTCCGCCCTGCTCGTCTACGCGAACGAAGACGCTACCGCCGCCGAGCCCCTGCCGCTGCCCAAACCCCTCCAAGATTTCGCGAAAAAGGATAATCTCAACTTCCTCCACGAGTTACAGGAGAATGCTACAGGATGGGAAGGTTATGGCGATTACGGCAACACAGCAACAGGCGGGTGGGATAACACCAACCCCCCTGCCTTTGAAGACAATGGTTGGAGTGAAATCAGCGCTAAAGAATTCAACAGCAGCAGCCGTCCGCGCAACGATTCAAACATGAGTTCCGCGACGCTGACACCCAACACGGAAATCGACGACGACGCGCCTGTTACGCAGGAAATGGTCGAGACGAACCGTAGTGGTGGTGCTGGGACCATGAGCAGCGCTAGTAGCGAGACGGTTGGTCGCGGCGATGACCTCATGGATATTGATGCCGGAGCGAATGAGAAACTGCAGAGTCATGTCAGGTTCTCGGATGTGGATATGGAGGATGTGGATAGTCAGGATAGGGCGAGGGTGCAGCGTGTGGATAATTCGGGGAAGAAGGGCGGCTAGGTGGCGCTTGGTAAGCTGCTGGATAACTGGGATGATACGGATTGGTCGGAAGATGAGGATGATGAGCAAGACGTCGATGGTGTGGTTAATCCAAACGAGGACGAGGACGATTGCGACATCGATACGTGGATGAGTCGGCCTTGAGAATGCGGATGCGGGTGCATAGCGCGGTGTTTTGGGATGGCGCTCTTATGTTAGCGGCATGATTGGATTTCGGTGTTAAGAAGCGAGAGTGCTTGGTTTAGGGAGGTGCTGGATTGGCTGGTTAGGATGACTGGTCGCGTAGGATAACGCACCTTCCATGGTTCAAAAAGCCGAGTTTTTTGCATGCGCACATGTGATGAGGCTACGCTGGCGAAGTATATAAACTGCGAAGTTCCTTCCTCTTGTGCTTTCTTGTTCATCACACTTCCACCTTTTTTTTACCAAAATTCAACTGGGACCATTTGATGGTTGTCCTGTCCTCCTTCTTTTCAAAAAGGGCAAAAAAGCCGCCATGTCTCCAGACGCCTCACAAAATTCACGTAAAAGACTCCCATGGCCCGTCTTGCCTCTCGAAAAAATACACGAAAGCTTAAACGAATGGCTTCTTCCTCTTGTCGCCGGCTCCAAAAGAAAGAATTTTCTCAACCATGGCGAGTGGCTGTCTGCCGAGTTCCAGCAGTTCATCTTCGAGCACTCATACCACTATCTGCTTGTTGGACATCGAAAACAAGATCTAATCAAGCTATGTGCTGAGCTGAGGCTTTACACACCTCACCACGACATTGCTCGGTGCTCCTGTCCGAAAACACGATTTCTGGAATTCATGGGCTGGGCTGAGCCTTTACACACCTCACCACGACATTGCGTGGTGTTCCCGTCCGAAAGGATGTATGACCTCAACGATGGTGGGCGGCTGTCTGCCGAGCTCCAGCAGTTCATCTTCGAGCACTCGTACCACCAGCGACCACGTTGCCATCAAGGGTACAGCTCGATCTGTCCGAAAAAACAACTCCAAAATTCTGCATGGTTTCTTCCATCGAAGATGTCAAGAAAGCTAAGCATGAGTCGAGATCCGCGGACGGGCGGGTATATAAACCCCCTCGACGTCCCGGTTTTTCTCTTCTTCAACACACACTCCGGTTCTTATCTACTAAAAGCTATCGCCACTACTACCTATGGTTCCCGCCTCTTCCACCAAAACGCGTCTAGGACTATGCCATGAGAGATCGCTCTTCCTGCCTCTTTGTCCAAAAGTTACGATCGCTCGAGCGATGTGCGAGTGTGCCTCCAAAAATCTTCGATGGACTTTTTCATGTGCGGAGAAGACCTCTTGCTGCTAAAACAGCACTCCTACCCTTCATGGTGCCTGTCGCTCCGGCACCTGGAGTCTACTTCCCACCCTTCGGATCGAAACCGACAAGCCAATCCCGTATATGTTCGGCAACACCTCAGAAGATACTGGAAAAGAGAAAGGTATGCGCAGTTGTCGCCATGACTTTCCGCCTGGAAAAAGACTTTGAAGTTCAACATGTGTCGGGTCTCGACTGCCAGCTCAACCGTACACCCGAATCAAGAAGTCTTTCTTCCAGATCGTCATGCGCGAGTAGCCTTCTCAGCAGTACACCCAAGTCAAGAAGTCTTTCTTCCAGATCATCATGCGCGAGTGGCCTTCTCAGCAGTACACCCAAATCAAGAAGTCTTTCTTCCAGATCGTCATGCGCGAGTGGCCTTCTCAGCAGTACACCCAGATCAAGAAGTCTTTCTTCCAGCGCGGAGAAACCCGCTTCGACCTCGAGGACGTCTTCTTCTATCGACAACACGCAACTCCACCTATGTTTCACGAAAACAACGACCGCCACTGCCGATGGGGTCTGGTTCTTCTAAAAGCAAGATGTTCAATATGACATGACCTTCCGACTCAAAACGCGAAAACGATTTGTCCATGTGTGCGCTCCGACTCCGGCATACAAAAACACGGATATCACTGGCATGACTTGCTGTGAGGAAACCGCAAGTTATGTTTCTCTACACAAAATACTTGGATATCAATGCTATGGTGTCCTGCTCTTGGTGGGACGGGACGCCAACGGCACCTTCCGGCGTGCTCAAGAGCTCACCCGCGCTATTGGCCAAGTCTTCAACTGTAACTCGCCTCAGTTCGATGGCTTCCTGCGCTTCTCAAAAGATTAGAATGGTTAGGCATGACTCTCTGGTCTGGAGGAACGAGGGTGCTGGCGGATGCTGGGTTTTTACCTCGATGTCTATAAAAGGGCTATCCTCTTCGTAGTCTACTACCATTTTACTTTGTCTACTTTAACGCACACCAAAACGACGGGAGAAAAAGGCTATGGCGTTCTGCTCTTCTCAAAAACAAGTTCGTGGATTCCGATGGCGGCTCGGCCTGGGGCATTGGCACATTCCACAGATGACATAGTTCGAATTCAACTCATATCAAAAAACATCATCGACTTATTACATGGGTACAATTTTACGTGAGCTTTCCTCTTACTAAAATCTGAATGCACTTACGTGATGACCTCCTACTCTCCTCAAATGTTCTACCGCGCCGCTCCATGGCTTCTCGGACTGAAACAATGCTCAACACGGGGGATAGCAAAGTCTGACCTCACCCTCACATATAAAGCCACCTTTCTTCTTGCCTTCTTTCTTCACAAAGACTCCGCACTTCTACTTATCATAACCTAAAAGCCAACTATCTCTGTTCGATGGCTTCGCGGACTTCTTCCAAAAAACACTGCGATGTCCCGCGATGACTGTCCGACCTAAAAGACTTGCAATGCGCTCAAATGGCGAGGCTCTACTTCAATCTCAGATATAAAGACTTGTTCCTTCTTGATTCTTCCTCCACTATTACTCCACGCTTCTGCTCTCTGTACACCAAAACTGCGACGAGTGCCATGCATGGTTTCGCGCACTCCTTCCCAAAATAATGGCATCATTGTCCAATAGTCAGCAAATACATCCCATGAAGTTGAGAGTACTTTGAGGCTAGAAAGCCCGCCCCAGAACTACAAATACATAGATGACTTCGTCATGTCTTTGTGTGCAGACCACCAAAAAAGCGATACTCAACCTAACATGAGAGGGTTTGGGTAGTAGTACGCGTACCCACCGTATCTTCTCCTCGGATCCAGCATAAAAGACCGCCTTCTTCCTCGCTCTTTTCTCCCTTTATAACACACCTCCGTCTTACTTAACTAAAATATTCACGACAAGCGCCGCATGTTCCTGTGGTCTTGTTCCCAAAAATGCGTTTTGACGCCGTCATGACTTTGCGCTCAGCAAAAGTCTCGGACATCTTCCAACCTTATCCATACGTTATACCAGATCCTAAAAACATATTTATCATATGCATGTCAATTAGTCGAAAGCAAGCAGCAAAGCCATCACCATATGCGGCAAGACGTGCCAGAAAAATTTCCCAATACATCTCATGTGCGGTTGAAGTCGTCAAAGATTAACATTTTTAACATATGAGCGCGCAGCTGGGGGCCTGTATAAATAAACTTCCTGTCTTCGCTGCCTGTTTCTTCTTTATCCATTCATTCTTGTTCCGCATATCCAAAATACGGACTGGAAGCTTCATGGCGGCAGTCTCTCCCGTCTCCAAAACAACGATAAAGACTGTGCATGGTGTGCTGTTGGAAGTCGCCAAAAGCTTTCCACTTTAACAATATGAGCGGCCACCATGAGAAGTGTATATATAAACATCCCCTCTTCGCTGGCCTTTCTCCTCTTTATCTACACATTCGTCTTGCGAGTATCCAAAAAACTTCAGAGTCTCAGATGATGACGGCCGTCTTTCCCGTTTTCTAGAATAAATTAACGACAACACTATGGTGCGCTGTTAAAGATCTCCAAAATATGTACATGGCATCCTTATTGCGGCCCATTGGGAGAGGTATATCTAAATATCCCCTCTGCGCAGTCTCCTTGTTCCACATCTTAAAGTTATATACTCCGCAAATTCAAAACAACTAGCCGCCGTGCTGATGGCGGCTGTCTCTTCCTTCTTCCAAAAATACAGACAACCTCAACGATGGCGTGCTTGCGGGCTTCGCTGCGATCAAAACGGGCGTTCAAGATCGTGATGAAAGCGACGAAGCTGTCCAAAAATGCTATGTGATGAACTCACGGCCAGAACTCCGGTCCTGGTGAGTTCAAATACGGCTTCCTTCGCGACATATGAGTGCGTTGGGAGTGTTGAAAGACTACACCAATGTCTTGATGCTTGCCTCGTTCTGGGATTCGTTTGCTGCGGGTGTATAAAGCCTGGCTCAAAGATCGTTCTCTCCGTCTTTAATTACCTACGCTATTCTTGTCAAAACCAAAAGAGTCTGAGGACGACCGGATGTTCTTTTGCGCCGGGGATTCAAAAACAAGACATGACGTAGACATGCGTGCAAAAAGTGTCGAAGGAGAGGTCTATGGGGTAGCGAGGCTTCTACCAAGCTATCGTTGTCATCGATACTCTGAGTAAGTTGATGGCGTGGCGCTGCTGTGTTGGGATTAGGAGGGGGACTTTGAAAAGGACAAGCATGTGTTGCTCGGACTCGACCATAGGCTGGCATTACGTTCATTCGATCTATCGTGAAGACGTTCCCGTCACCTCATGTCGCCCAATCCATCGTCATTACCACCACACCTTCGCATTTTTCTTAACCCTGCATCTCAATACCTCCACTCCCGTGGATTACCTCACCCGTACAATAGCTTCCCAACGGGCTAGCAAGATGCACATAACACGTCGCCATCTCGACCGGCATCCCCGGGCGATTCAGCGGGCAAGCACCTACACCCAAGCTATCCATCGCATCAGCCGGGTTGTTCTTCGTCGCAGGCTGGAGCGGCGTCCAAATGATGCCCGGCGCAACAGCGTTCACACGAATACCATTGGGCGCTTGCTGCTGGGCTAGGCCGCGGGTAAAAGTTACGATGGCGCCCTTCGTGGAAGCGTAGTCGAGAAGCATGGGGTTGGACATGTAGGATGCGACTGAGGCGCTGTTTACGATGCAGTCACCGCGCTTCATGTGTTTGAGCGCGTATTTGGACATGGCGAACATGGAGATGACGTTGGTGTGGAACGTCTTTTCGGTTACGTCGAGGTCGATTTCGGTTATGTCTGTGCAGGCTTCTTGCATGGCGGCTGTTGGATGTTAGCACGCTGGTTCGGAAGTCATGTGATAGTTATAGTATCTTACCATTGTTCACTAGGACGTTCAGCTTGCCGAAGACCTTCATATGTTGTTCAACGGCTTGCTCGCAGTTCTTCCTCTCCCGCAGGTTGAGTTGCATGAGGTTTGCTTTGCGGCCGGCTTCTTCGATCTTCTTCTTGACGTATTGCGCATCCTCCTCCTCTTCGGGCAAGTACACGATGCTTACATCTGCGCCTTCTCTTGCGAATAGGATCGCTACAGCGCGTCCGATACCAGAGTCTCCACCTGTGATCAACGCGGCCTTGCCTTGCATCAAACCACGACCTTCATACTCCTTAAGGTAGGGTTTCTGGTTCTCGTCCCAGAACTCGAGACGCGACCATTCTGCTTTTTGATCGGTCTTTGCGTCTAGACCAGGGCCGCCTTCTTGGTTTTGAGGTGTGATCTCTGTGGCAGGGTATGCGGTGACTGGGCCCTTGTTGTCGCTCATCTTGAAGGTAGTGTGACTGAAGGTACGTGCAACTGGCCTGAAAAGGGTAGAAGAGGTGATTGGCTTCCGGAAAACAAAGTTCGAAGATCTGATGATGGTTGTTTTGAACATCTCTGTCGATCGGGGGGTAGTAATTGTAGGGGCCAGTTTTGGTGGGGTTGGGATTTGATGCGATCGTCATCGAGCGTCATCGTTGGAATTCAACACCACGTCACGACGCTGAGTCTGGACTGAGGCTTTTGAAATTGTTCATTAACCGGTGCATAGAACTGCGATAACGAGCATACCAGGTGTGCATGGGTTTACCCATCTAATTGATGGATGTCGCGTTCTCTGCTCCAAACGCGTCTGAGCCGCTTCCCAGGTGTGCGTGCGTGCACAGATCATCCACGTCGGAAGAGCAACGACACGCTCACAATCGAGGAGAACCTTGGACGAACACCTGCTGAAGGGACGAGGGCCAAGAGTATCGGGTCCGGGACGTATAAGGATATAGTGACTGGAAGATACACCAGCGACCAATCTTAACTCCCGCATTCAAGCTTCTTTTGCGAAGCTACCTAGGTGATCAGGCCTGGAGCATCATTCTTGCCCCCAGCCTCCCGTCGGCAAGGGTGTAACGAAGGCTTGCACGTCCATGGAATGATGATAAGGTCTTGTTGATGCAGGTCGGTCACCGCAGCTCTTCGACTACCCGACGTCTCGCGTTCCAACCTAGGCCCGGCCAAGCGTCCGCTAACTTTCACGCAAGCTGAATCTTCTCACGACCAGTCTGCGCAGTGGCAGGCCGACGACAGCATTTCGAAACTATGTGCCGCGCATTTCATGCTGCTTGAAGAGAACAGAGGAGAAGATGGAGAGTTTCAGGGTCTTGGAACCTTCGTCATGATTCCATTGGAAGGGGGCGCCAGGGCCCTTTCAGGATTAGTCCGACGACCTTACCCCACCGCCCCTGATCCGTGCCGCCTTCCGCTTCCCGTCTCATCTCACCGTTTGTTCTCCAAGTACTCTGCATCAACGCAGACCCAACCGCATTATCTGTGATCTTTGTGAATACTTGGAAGTGCTTCTCAAACAACATTACTCTCTTCAATCGACATGGACCCATCACTCGAAAGTGATGTTCTAAACCGAAGATCGTTAATTCTAACGTACCGAAATTACAAAAACGACACGGAGTACATCGCTGGTTGGCTCGCATGGACATCGGAGAAATGCGGATACATCAGAGCTATCA